GACAAAAACCACATTATCATATCAATAGATGCAGAAAAAGCATTTGATAAGGTACAGCACCCATTTATGATAAAAAAACTCAGCAAAGTGGGAATAGAGGGAGCATTCCTCAACATAATAAAGGCCATATATGAGAGACCTACAGCCAACATCATACCCAATGGCCAAAAATTAAAATCTTTTCAGCTAAGATCAGGAACAAGACAAGGCTGTCCACTTTCACCACTTCTATTCAATATAGTACTGGAAGTTTTAGCCACAGCAATCAGACAAGAAAAAGAAATGAATTATAATCGGAAAGGGGGAAGGAAAACTGTCACTGTTTACAGATGACATGATAGTGTACATAGAAAATCGTATAGACTCCACCAAAAAACTGCTTGAACTAATAAATGAATTTGGCAAAACAGCGGGATACAAAGTCAATATCCAGAAATCAAATGCATTTCTCTACACCAACAATGAAACAGCAGAAGCAGAAATCAAGAAAAAATACCCATTTGAAAAGGCAAAAAGAAAAATAAAATACCTAGGAACAAACCTAACCAAAGAGGTAAAAGACCTGTATTCAGAAAACTACATAACACTGAGGAGAGAAATCAAGGAAAACACAAACAAATGGAAACATATACCGTGTTCATGGATTGGGAGAATTAACATCATCAAAATGTCCATACTACCAAAAGCAATTTACACATTCAATGCAATACCTATTAAAGTACCAATGGCTTATTTCACAGACATAGAACAAACACTTCAAAAATTTATATGGAACCATAAACGACCCCGAATAGCTGCTGCAATTTTGAGAGAGTAAAGTAGGAGGGATCACAATACCTGACACTAAACTATACTACAAGGCCACTGTAATCAAAACAGCCTGCTACTAGCATAAAAACAGGCACATGGACCAATGGAACAGAACAGAGAGCCCAGAAATAAACCCAAGTCTCTATGGTCAATTAATATTTGACAAAGGAAGCAGCAACATAAAATGGAATAAAATAGCCTCTTCAACAAATGGTGTTGGGAGAACTGGACAGCTACATGCAAAAAAAAATGAAACTCGAGCACCAACTTACACCTTATACAAAAATAAATTCAAGGTGGATAAAAGACTTAAATATAAACCGTGACACCATTAAAGTCCTAGAAGAGAACGTAGGAAGGAAAATCTCAGATATTTCATGCAGAAACTTTTTTACTGACATGTCTCCTACAGCAAGGGACATAAAGGAAAGAATAAACAAATGGGACCTCATCAAAATTAAAAGCTTTTATACAGCTAAAGAAAACAGTATCAAAATAAAAAGAGAACCAACTATATGGGAAAACATATATGCCAATGATACCTCAGCCAAGGGTTTAATCTCCCAAATATATAAAGAACTTACACGACTCCACTCTAAGAAGACAAGCAACCCAATTACAAAATGGGCAAAGGACTTGAACAGACACTTCTCCAAGGAGGACATACAGAGTATCCAAAGACACATGAAACAGTGTTCAATATCGCTAGCTATCAGAGAGATGCAAATTAACACCACAATGAGATACCACTTCACACCAGTCACAATGGCCATCATAAACACAGGAACAAACAACAAGTGTTGGAGAGGTTGTGGAGAAAGGGGGACCCTAGTGCACTGCTGGTGGGACTGCAGACTGGTACAACCACTATGGAAAGCAGTATGGAACTTCCTCAGAAAACTAAAAATGGATCTGCCTTTTGACCCTGCAATTCCACTGCTGGGAGCATATCCTAAGAACCCTGAAACACCAATCCAAAAGAACCTATGCATCCCAATGTTCATAGCAGCACAATTTACAATATCTAGATGCTGGAAGCAACCTAGATGCTCATCAGTAAATGAATGGATCAAAAATATATGGTACATTTACACAACAAAATTCTATGCAGCAGAAAGAAAGAAGGAGCTCCTACCCTTTGCAACAGCATGGGTGGAGCTGGAAAGCATTATGCTAAGCGAAACAAGCCAGGCAGTGAAAGACAAATACCACATGATATCACCTTTAACAGGAACCTAAACAACAAAACAAAGAAACAAGCAAAATGTAACCAAAGACACTGAAATAGGGGACAGACTGACAGTGACCAGAGGGGAGAGAAGAGGGAATTTCAGGGGGGAATGGGTAGGGTTTACAGGAACAAATTTAAAAACTAAGGGGAGGGTGGTAGTGGGAGGGATGTAGGGAGGGTTGGGTGGGTGGGCTGGAATGGGAGTAAAAGGAGAAAACTCTACTTGAACAATAATTAAAATAAAATTTAAAAAAATGAAAAAGAAAAAAAGAATAGAATATTCAGAGGGAAATGTAAACATTCTACAGAATTTAAAAATGGTACAAGTGAAATAGCCAAAAATTAAAAATAACCCAAATGAACTAAGCATTAAAATCCAACATCTCTGTACAGAGAGAAGGTAGGACCTATCAGTTTTTCATAAGAGCCTTGTGATTCATGATGTTAAAATCACAAAGTTTACTAAATAAATCACTAAAATAAATCGCTAAAGAAAGTTAAACTGATTTTGTCAGTTTTTTGTCTTAAGTAGAGAAAAAACTGACAAAAAAGAAGAGACAACATTGCATAAAACAGTACAGTAACAACAGCAATAATAATAATAACGATGATGATAATAGTTCATATTTATCAAGAAATTCTTATGTGCCAAGCACTATGCTAAGTACTGTATGTGAATTATCTCTTCAAATCCTTACTACAATTGTATGAGGTAGGTCTTTTTATAATTATATCCACATGAGAAAATTAGTATTTTGGGAATTATTAGTTATCTATTCCTGCATAATGAATCACAGCAAAATGTAGCATCTGGAAATGATAGACATCACCACTTTATAGGTTAGAACCTGAGTGCTTCTGGTTAAGTTTCTCATAGGGCTGCAGTTAAGATATCAGTCAAGGTTGTCATCATTTCAGTGTTTAATGGTGGAGCTCTGCTTCAGAGCTCATTCCCGTGACATGTGTCATTGACTGCTCCCAGGGTGAGTTATTCAGGATTACCCAAGGTGGGAGCCAATGTCTTTTTATAATCAAGACTTGGCAATGATATATATATATATATCACTTTTTTCTTGTTCTGTTAGAAGCACATCCATAAGCCCAGCCCACATTCAAAGAGAGGACATGAATTCATGAGCAAGATAAGAATACCAAGAGGTGAAGATAGAATGAATTAGTTTAGTGACTGCATAGCAAGGGGGGAATTAGCTTATCCATAGGTAGTAAGTCACAGCCTTATAAGGCAAAATTAATTTGACCCCAGGGCTCAAGTTCTTAACCACTATGTAACCCACAAAATGCTGCCTGGGTGGGACAGCATCAACCCTTTCACATGGTTGCTATCCTGGATGTGCAGGAGTGGCTAGAGAGAAGCACCATACATAGAGATGACTTCCACCCAGATGTATTACCAGGTTTGAGAAAAGAGAAATAGGTTATATATTATGGTCAGTATGTAGGGTGCTTCTATAACTCTCCCACATATCTCCTACATTAGTAAATGTATACGGCTGCAAGAAAAGTCTGTGAGTACAAGGATAACCTTGAATTCACTCTAATTTATAAAAACTTAAGCAGTCTTGATATTTATTTATTTTTATTTTTTAAAGATTTTTATTTACTTATTTGTTTTTAGAGAGGGAAGGGAGGGAGATAGAGAGAGAGAGAGAAACATCAATGTGCGGTTGCTGGGGGTTATGGCCTGCAACCCAGGCATGTACCCTTGCTGGGAATCGAACCTGCGACACTTTGGTTCACAGCCTGTGCTCAATCCACTGAGCTATGCCAGCCAGGGCAGCAGTCCTGATATTTATAATTTATTGGTGATGAATTATTTAATACAACCCTCGTACTTGATCATGACAAACTGTAGCTTCCTTCTCCTGGAATGGTTTGTCAGAGGGACATGTTGGCGAAGGTGAGGAGCTGGTGCTCTACTGTAAAGCTTTTGGGAGGCACTGAAGTGTTTTAAGCATGGGAAGATGACATAATTGGACTTGTATGTGTTTCTCTGAGTCATACCATTTTGTCTAAAGCTTCAGGCAATACCCTGAATTCTCATGTGTGAGACAGCAGATGCTTCCTTTACACCTCACTGGATTCATTTGTGTTGGTATAATGAGATTTCTTTACTTTTTATGTCTGCAGATTGGTCAAGGTACCCTATCTCAGGGTACCTGTGTCTGCCTTTCTCTGAACACATAAAGACCTTTGTGATTACAACCAAGCTGCAAGCTCATCAGGCCCAGGCTGATTACCTCCTTTATGTCCTGTCGTCTGGTGGCAACAACATTGTTGACATATTTTAAGAATTCAGAAAATAGCCCTGGCTGGCGTAGCTGAGTGGATTGAGCACGGGCTGCGAACCGAAGTGTCACAGGTTCGATTCCCAGCTAGGGCACATGCCTGGGTTGCAGGCCATGATGCCCAGTAACCGCACATTGATGTTTCTCTCTCTCTCTCTCTTTCTCCCTCCCTTCCCTCTCTAAAAATGGATAAATAAAATCTTAAAAAAAAGAATTCAGAAAATACTTAAGTCAAATAAACTTGATTGAGTACCTACTATAGGTACTCAGGTTAGTTATTGGTTAGTTATTGTGTTGAGCTCTAGGTATATATAAATCCAAAATTGCCATTTTACTTTATTAGTAAAAAGTCATGACCATATATGTTTAGTTTCAGAACAGAGAAGGGACTTAGCAGAGGTAAGGGGAGATCTTCTGAAGGATGTGACCTCTGAGCTGGTTAGAAGAATGACTGTTATGGTGAATGGAGAATGTGAGCCTATTAAGTATTGGGATGCTGGCTTGTTAATACTTGATTGAGGGTAAAGCCAAGGTTATAGGAGAAGAGAAAGAAGTTAACATTGACAATCAATATAAACAGAAGTCACTGATTCATCTAAGGAATATATAGAACCATGCAAAATTTCCTTCCTGCTGCCTTTGTGTCTTCTCAGCTCTCTATGAACGATCCTGCGAGGTGTATAGGCACCAAGGGAGCACAGCTGGTTTCTTCTACATTGACCCGGATGGCAGTGGGCCTCTAGGACCTCTCCAAGTGTACTGCAACGTCACAGGTGAGGATGAAGAATTCTTACTTGCACTCTGTCTAGTTGTGTGATGGTCCACAGCAAAGGGACAGTCTTGCAAGTAAAAGGCCAAGTTCTGGGGGGAAATGATATTTTAATAAATAATTGAATTAGCAACTAGGTTATTTTCATGAGTGAAAAAAACTTGTTAACAGTCTTGATGTTCTACCACAACAAATAATTAATTATCAAGCATTTTCTGTAGAACTTGTCAAGGACATTTTTCTCTTTCAAATGTCAAAAACAAAGCAAATGAAAATCACCAGACAAAAATCAAAACTCAAAATCAATAGGAAACCTTGACTCAGGAAGTGAAAAAGCTTAATTTATGTTTGACCCTGAGGACTGTGAATCCCACATTCTCTTGGAACTTCAGTTGTTCATCAGTGAAATGGGAATAGTAGTTTGTACCTCTTAGAGTTACAAGGATTAGACACATTCATGTATCCTGGAGCAACTAGACTAATTATCCAATAGATACCTAATAATAAAAAAGTGAGCTATATTTTTTTTGGCAATTTTGTTTATCTTGCCACTTACTTCATTCTAAAGTGCAGAAGATCCTAGTCAAAGTCAATTATTACGTGGGTTTAGAGATAAGATATGATCATTAAATTATTTATTTTGAAAAAAATAAGTCCACAAACCAAAATGTGACATAATAGTTTAATAAAATACAGCTTTGTATTTTCTCTACTGTGAGTGTCATTAATTGGCACATCCACAATTTTTGATTCAAGAACTAACTTTGGGAGAAGATAGCAGAATTATGTAGTGAAGCAGAAAAGTAGGGGTCTATCAAAGTTCATTGAGTCCTCTGGCCCCAGGCTTTTTTTCAACAAGGGAACCCCCTTTATGGAGTTCTTTCAGTAACCAGACACTGTCCTGGGAACTGAGCATATGCAGAGTAATAAGACACAGACACTGTTGTTCATGAAGCAGTAAAATTGGAGAAAATAGCATGCAATATCACAGGTAGCCATGCAAACAAACTTTTGCAAAAATGATGACTAAGGATGCTTAGCAATTTGCCCATCTGAATACAAAAGGCCACATTTTTTTTTGCAGAAAATGTTAGTTATATGGAATTGAATGCTATTTTATTGCATTTCCATAATCCTTCACTTGCAAAATACATATATGCTAGCTATTCTCAACAGTTTTATAACATAAATTAGAAACTATGTTGCTGTTTTATTTTAATGGTTATGGTAACATACAGAGTTCAAAAATCTAGTCAAGTACAACGTGGAGTTGTCAGTGGATCTTGGTTATTTCAAAATGTAATTAGTATAGAGATCTCTACATGTTCTTGCTAAAAATATAGACATCCCAACCCCCAAAATTCTAATTCAGCAAATGAACTTTTACTGAGCTCTCCAAGTGATTCTGATGAAAATTGTCCCTGGTTCACACTTTACCAAAAACCAAGGCAGTGATTTGGCTTCAGAATAAGGCAAAGGAGATACCAGTGCCTGCTGATGAATGATCAGTGCCTACCAACTTCGAGAACCAAACTGAGAGTTGAGAAATATCATTCTTTTTGACTCCTGAAAGCAAATCTAAGGTAGATATTTTCCTCTCTACCTTACATAGAAGGAAAAAGAGTATGAGAATTTTATGACTTGTTTGAGGTAATAAATACTGGAACTAATAGTAAAGAGTTGGGAAACAAACAGAAGCTTCTGTATTAATAATAATCTATATCACTGAACATTAATTAGGTACTTTGTATTGCTTATGTTTTGCTTTAAACAGTGCTTTTACATTTGTTATAAAATAAATAAATATTAATTATTAAAAATTAAGGAAAAAGTATAAATAAAATGTTAAAGTCACCTATAAATCACAGTTCAGAGATCTCCAATGTTATTTTATTATTAGAATTTTCTTGTAATTTTTTTCTGTGAATGCATATGTGTTTTTTCTATGAATGTGTGTTTTTAGATATATATTTTAAAATTATAAATTTAATAGATTAGCATAGACTTGTCCTTATCTTGCTGGTGGAAATCATGTTGTTTCACAGGACTGCAAGGAAAACATTTTGAGAGAACCACACATGGAAGGTTGTGGTGTGACAGGATTTATTTGCGTGGAAACAGAAAACTGTGTTTGGGTTCCCAATGCCCCATTGTTGTCTGTCCTGCTCTGAAAAAAAGTCCTGTTTTGTTTTCATCAGGGTCAGAAATAGGGACAATGTCCAGAGATCCTATGCCATATTAAAACTTAGTATTTTGGGGGCTGTGTAGTCTGCTGCAAGCTTCAGGTGGCTACTAGATCCACATGGCTTCTGTGAAATGAATAAGCATACTGGGTGAGCATGTGTTACCAGGGAAGAGAAGGAGAGAGAAAGAGCTCTTTGTTAGCTTGGACTACTATTTTTTGGACCAAAAGACACACCTAGGTTTTAGAGGAGGAAAATAAGAAAAAACAGTTTTGAAGCAAAAAATGAAGTAAAATATTTAATAGCATATTATGTTATATAAATATAACATAAAATATTTAATAACATAATATTTCACCAATGCAAATGTAAAGCTACATTCAGACTATAAGACACATCCCCCTTTCCTCCCAAATTTGGGGGAGGAAGTGCATCTTATAGTCCAAAAAATACAGTATATTATCTCAGGCTTGGGAAGGATCAGGCACTTCTTCAGGCTAACCAAGCTTTTGCAGGTTTCTGATGGGTCTACCTCCTTAAGCAATCCATTTCCTAGATCTTCCAGGTGCTATGTCTTTTATCCAATCCAATCCTTTTCCCAGGCTGGACTGCTAGGCCTCTGTAATTGCCATCTTGGCTCCTATTGCCACATGTGCTTACTTTGCCTGAAAGTCTGTGCCACTGGACAGGAAGATTGAAAAGCCTGTCCTTCCTCCCCATACAGGGGATGGAGTTGTTAATCCTCTTTGCAGGTCAATGATGTGATCCCCTGGGGTTTGTGAAGTTGTAGCTTCCAGATTAAACAGTCTCTCTACTTTACTATGCTTTATTATGCTTAATAATGTCTGATTTCATTTGAACCCTTTTATTAATATTTTACTACCCACACTAACACTTATATTATTAAAATATATACTGAAATTAAAATATGTACATTAAATATAGCTTAAATTTTTAAACACTCCAAAATAATGTAAGTTCAGAGACACAGAGAATATAATTAATATAAAGGTCTCATTTACATAGACTCTCTGCTCGTCTTTGGGAAGACTTCTCTTAAGATTTATGTTGATATGTTGTCTAGGAATAGCTAAAGGTGAATGTTTACTTGCACATAACTACCTGTTTTGCTGATGTGGTCCTGAAGAGATCAGGACCCCAGAGTTGTGCTGTAGAGTTGATGGGCTTCATTATATATGATTGGGCATTTCTTTTAAGTGTGATTTTTGGTCACCTGCAGTTGCAAAATATACAGGTTTTGTTTTTGTTTTTGTTTTCCTAAAACAAACCTCTAAATAAACTGAATTATATAATTCTCATATTTAACTGGTAAATATTTTAGTACATTAATATAATAATAATCTAGTCCACGTTTTTCTATTTGTAAAATGTTAAATGGTCTTAAGTATGAGTGACTTATGACACTAGCAAAAGTGTGACAAGAGATATTCAAGAAGGAGAGGGAGGGAAAGAAAGAGAAAAATGAAAAGAGAAGACTTGATCTGTGTTTAATTCCCATTTGTGAAAACACCAAGTTACTATTCTCTACCTTTCTCAATAGCATATACTGGGTAGTATAAATAGCCCTGGCAGGCAGAGGTCTGGGTTATCTTCCTCTACATTCACCAGAAGCTAGGTGCCATCCTCATTAAGGATTACTTGAAAGATTATGTGAGGTTTACCAGAAAAGGGAAAATTTCTCATAAGAAGTCTGCAGATATTTGCAAATAGCTGCCATGAGGGTGAAGAAGGATGTTTTTTGTTGTGGATACAGTAAATTCAAATCCAAAAAGCATCTCTCTTTAAAACGTACCCTTGGGGAGCATTGGCTCTCCATTTCTGTAGGCAAGGTGGCACCTTACTCCTCCTGGAGATTTAACTCTGTGCATCTCACCTACCACAGGAGATTAAATTCTTAAAAGCTCAAGAAGCAACTGTCTCTTTGGATCTAAGCCAACATGATCTGTGCATGGGGAAAAGAAGTTGATTTAGGGGAGTATTGATAAAGCGGACTAAATCTAGGCCTCTACAAATTTTGACAGTGTGCTGCACTCAAGGCTAAATTACTTTACTCAGGGACTAGTCAGTGGGAGAGAGGGGAGGCTCAGTGTTTGGGTGGAAGACTGACTATAGTTATGAATGAGGAAAACAAGAATTCTGTAGAAATACACATTTGGCCTACTTTTAACATCTAAATAATTTATAATTCTTTTCAACTCAATATAAATGTGCTCATTCCAGGCACTATGAGAACTGCTAATTTTTCCTATTATAAAATTGTATCTGCATTATCCTCTCCAGGTTTCTATAATAAAATTCTACAATTTCAGTGGATTAAGAACAGACAGAAAAACAGAAGTACATTGTTTCACAGCACTGGAGACTAGAAGTCCAAAATCAAGGAACCTTGTTGTCTATGTATATGAGGGTTTCCTTTGTTTGTATTTGTTTTTGCTTAATTCCTTCACCTGCAATGATTACCAGAGGGAAACAGGGTGGGTAGGTAGAAGAGGGTAAAGGGGTGATAAATAGGGATGGAAGGGGACTTGATGTGAGGTAGTGAACACATAATACAACATACAAATGATATATTATAGAATTGTTCACCTGAAACCCATATAATTTTATTAACCAATGTCATCCCAATAAGTACAAATTTTAAAAAATCAAGGAGTCTGCAGGGCTATCCTTCCTCTGAAACCTGTAGGAAAGCAACCTTTCTTGCCTTTTCCTAGCTTTTGGTGTTTTGTGTAAACTTTGGGTTTTCCTACACTTGTAGCAGCAGCACTTAAATTTCTACCTCCCAGAGGCTTTCATCTGC